TCATTCTCAGTCTTTTGGATATTAGCCATCCTAACTGGAGTGAGGTGGTATCTCAAAGTGGCTTTGATTTGCATTTCCTGAATGCTGAATGATGTTGAGCATTTTTCATGTGTCTGTTGGCCATTCATATATCTTCCTTTGAGAAATGCTGATTCAGCTCCTTTGCCCAATTTTTAATTGGGTTATTTGTTTTTTTGCTGTAAAGTTTTTTGAGTTCCTTGTATATTCTGGATATTAATAATTTGTCTGATTTATATTTTGCAAATATTTTCTCCCACTCTGTTGATTATTTCTTTTGCTGTGCAGAAGCTTTTTAGTTTGATATAATCCCATTTGTTTATTTTTTCTTTGGTTGACTGTGCTTTTGGGGTCATATTCATGAAGTCTGTACCCACTTCTAGTTCCTGGAGTGTTTCCCCTATGTTTTCTTTAAGGAGTTTTATTGTTTCAGGGTATATATTTAACTCTTTAATCCATTTTGAGTTGATTTTGGTATATGGTGAGAGGTACAGGTCTAGTTTCATTCTCCTACATATGAATATCCAGTTTTCCCAGTACCATTTGCTGAAGAGACAGTCTCTTCCCTAGTGTGTAGACTTGCTGCCTTTGTCAAAGATCAGATAGCTGTAGGTGTATGGGTTGATTTCTGGGTTCTCTATTCTATTCCATTGATCTGTGTGTCTGTTTTTATGCCAGTACCATGCTGTTTTGGTTATTAAGTCAGGTAGTGTTATACCTCCAGCTTTATTTTTTTTGCTCAGGATTGCTTTGGCTATACATGGTCTTTTGTTATTCCATATAAATGTCTGGATAGTTTTTTCTATTTCTGAGAAAAATATCATTGGAATTTTGATCAGGATTGCATTGAATCTGTAGATTACTTTGGGTAATATGGACATTTTCACAATGTTAATTCTTCAATCCAAGAGTGTGGGATATCTTTCCATCTTCTCGTGTCCTCTTTAATTTCTCTCAACAGTGGTTTGTAGTTCTCTTCATAGAGATTTTTCACATCCTTCATTAACTTTATTCCTAAGTATTTTATTTTTTGGTGGCTACTGTAAATGGGCTAGCTTTCTCAATTTCTTTTTCTGCATGTTCACTATTAAGTTAAACCCTATTTTTAAAAAATCACCTTAAACAGGGGAATATAAGGAAATGAGAATGACTATGAATAATGCTTTGTTAAGCTCCATTATGAAGAATGCGATTCAAGAAAGTGAGTTGCAAAGGGTCACAAAAGCATATTCTCAAAGATGTATAGGATTTATTTGCTCTTCTATGAGTTATTTTTCCAGAGTAGAATATAGGTCCTTCTTCTGCTTAGATCTAGCTTTTTACCTAAACGACAGGTTAAAATGGACCATGACACTGCTAAATCTGTTAGGAATACTAAATCTGTTGAGAAACTACTACTCTTTAGCATCTTCACAGAGGTGCAACAGATGGAGAAAGAAGAAGAATTTTAATGTATACTTATTTTTTCCATTGTTAGAAAAGCTGAAAAAATATATATATTGGAGGGAAGAATAAGAAAATTGAAGCTACTGGCTAAAAGAATGTGCTTGTGAATATTAAGTTACTACATTTTGGTGCCCTATCTCTTAGAACTCTTAATTTATTTATAGTATCAATTATTTATAACATTGCATCAAAACAAAATTATAAGAGGTAAAAATTAACATAATTTTTATTAAGCAAAGTGGTTTCATATAATAAATTAAAATGTAATTTTTTTAGTTAAAAGAATAACATTATTTTACTTGGGAAGAGCAATTTTATTATATTTTTATATTATATTTATACTATACATTATAATATTTTATATTGTAATTTATAATTATATATAGGTCAGAGGAATCTACATATATATGAAAAGTAACTTGTAAATGACAGTTAATAGTTTTCAAATGATCATTTTTTCATTAATATAACTTAAGAAAGCAATTTGTTTTCTAGCTAAACTAGTCTCCCAAATCCAATACTGAATTTTTTTTAAACATTTAACATTTGGATATCATGTTTCCAAAAAACAAACCTACAAAATGTAACAAGTAGACTGATTTCCAATATGTCCCCAATTTTTTCACCCCACCTTCTATCCATACCGCAATATGATTTCCTTTAAGAACTGGAGTGCAGTTCCCCACTTCCTAAATCTGGGCTGGCCTTATTTATGACTTGTTTTGGCCAATACATTGTGGGGAGGTGACAATGTGCTAGTTTCAAGTCTAGGTGTTAAGAAGTCTCCTTGCATAGTTTCTTTCTCTCTCTTTGAACCCCTGCCCCCTCCATAAGAACAAGCTGCAGGATGAAAGACTGTAAAACAGAGCTGAGTTTGCCCAGCTGAGGCCATTCTGCTTCAGCCAGCACCCAGCCAACCTGCCAGCTCACTGTAGATTTTTGAGTGAGCCCAGCAAAGATTAGCCAAGCCAGCCCAGATCAGCAAAATCATTCAGCTGATCCAGACTTATGAGCAAAAATAAATGTTTATTGTTGTAATACCACTGAGGCTCTGTGTTTGTTCTCAGCTGCATTATTGTGGCAACAAATAACTAATAAGGAAATTGATACCTAGTAGTGTACACTATAACAAAAACTTAAATAACTTTGGGGCCTGTATTAGTCTGTTTCTGTTGCTTACAACAAAATACCTGGAACTGGGTACTTTACAAAAAAAAAATGAAATTTACTGCTTACAGTTTCAGGGGCTGGGAAGTCCAAAGTCCAGGGAACACATCCGGTGAGGGTCTTGGTAATGGCAACAGAGACCCAGGGGTCTCACATGGCAGAAAATGGCAGAGCAGAGATAGCAAACTTCTCACTCACTCTCTTTTTAAAGCCCTCAGAACTATGCCCACAACCACCATTATTAATCCATTCACTATGGCATAGTCCTGCAACCTCATCACCTCTTCAAGGTCCCACCTTTCAATTACCATAATAGGATTTCCCACCTTCAACATTTACAGTGGGAATTAAGCTCCTAATATATGAACTTCAGAGACAATTCAATCAATCCACAGCAGGGTCAAACTAACAGTTAAAGAAAGTGGAAAAATGATGAGGAAAGTATACGATACTAGAAAAATGGTAACCCATGGTATGTAGTGATGAAATATGCTGTCTATGGTAATTCAGAATAAGTAAGACAATGTACCAAAGAAACTTTTGTACTTGAGCAAGCTAATTTCCAGGCAGAATACTGAAAAAGCTAACCGGCTGCTGCTAGCTAAGTATACTAAAGTTCTGTAAAAAAAAAAGAGATAAGCTAAAGAATTAGTTGTTTTACAAGCAGAACTTAAAGGGAATATAGAGAGACTTGATGGGTTGGAAAATAAAACTGTTATCATCTCCAGTCTCCTGAAAGATTTTCAAAATAAAATGAAGCCCATGAACAAAGGTCAAATCACAGATATAACTATAAGGTTCCTTTCTTAAGATTGCTAAAAAAAATTAAGGCAGGGTCTAAGTAGACATTCTTAGCTTGACAAAAGGGTTTTTAGAAAGTTCATAGGCATGATCCCACAGAATTCTCATCCCCAAGTAATAGTTATTGCATCTAAAGAGCAAGCATGTCTCAAAAAACAACTGTGGGTGTGTGTTCTAGAGCACGTAATGGACTTTTCAGTCACAGAGAATGCCCACCAAGTTTTACAAATAAGTTGTACTGGCCAAAAAGCCATGAGCCTGGACTCCTGGCCTTGCCTTGTGACTTGCTTGGCCAACAGAATGCAGTGTGAAGTAACAGTGTGCCAATTCAAGGGGGCTTGCATCTTCTGCTCTCCTTCTTGGACTCCTGCCTCCTCCATGAAAGCAGACCCAGGGTGGCCTGCTGAAGGTTGAGAGACCTTGTGGAGCAGAGCAGAGAAGAGCTGCTTCTATGTTTCTGACAAGATGGCAAACCCAAGCCAACAAAATAGAAAATCTTTCTCATCCTACTCCTTCTGTTAGTCACAGCCCCACTACCATCACTCTTAGTACAGACCTTCAGATTTATATCGAGTTACTGCAAGTGCCTCAAACTGTTCCCCATGCTTCTATAAAACCAACCAAAGACATCACAATCTTCATTGTATTAGTAAGTGCTTACTATAATAATACTGATAATTTTATCCTTACTTAGTACTCCTTCTGTTAGTCACAGCCCCACTACCATCACTCTTAGTACAGACCTTCAGATTTATATCGAGTTACTGCAAGTGCCTCAAACTGTTCCCCATGCTTCTATACAACCAACCAAAGACATCACAATCTTCATTGTATTAGTAAGTGCTTACTATAATAATACTGATAATTTTATCCTTACTTAGAAACTACTAATGGTTACCCAAATCCATAGTGTCATTTCTTCTCCAGACTTTAAAAGCCCTCCACAAGCATAACGTCACCTGTCTTTACTACCCTTTTTCTGCAATTCTAGAAAATATCCTATCTCCTGAATATTCTTAAAAATAACATGTTCATTCCTATTTCCAAGATGTGATTCATGCTGCTCTCTCCTACTAAAAGGATCTTTCACTTTATCCTTTATCCATCCAAGTCTTACCCATACTTTGATCCTATCCCTCCATAATGCCTTTCCAAACATACTAATCCTAGAAAGATGTGCTTCCACTCAGATTCCTAGAGCACTTCCTATATATACTTATTGAAGCTTCATTATGTATGCTTTGCATTTCTACTTAGCTGCTTCGTGTATACATCTTATTTTCCCCAGTAGATTATAAGCTTTTAAAGAACAAAATGAGATCTTAAACATTTTCATTAAAGTCTTCTCAATACTCAGTACATATTCATAAACACATATTAGATATATCCAGCATTACCACTAAATCTTTGTGAATTCCCAAATATCTATTTAACAAACAAAATTTCTGTTAATGACTTGTATTTAGCTCATTTTCCTTATATATGCTGGAATAAAAGTAAATAATCAAATTTAAGTTAAAACTGTTCCTCTTATGCAAAATATATAATTTTCAAATTAAAATACACACCCTCTCTGAAATAAATCCACGTTGTAGAACTTGTTTAGCTCCACAGAGAATTCTACCATTGCTTGAACTTCAGTCATTTTCAATTTACACCCAGAAGGCAAATCTGGTTACAGCACCTTGGTTAAAGAAGGGGAAAAATATGATGAGAAGCACAACAAAAATGCTAACTTATAAAAATACTATTAATTAAACATATTTCAAAGTATGATACATAAGCAGAAAATAAAAAGGAAGCAAATTACTTCATTGTACTTAACTTAGTCTAATTCAACTAAACAGCACCAGAATCCAGGCTTACTAAATAGTACCACTCTCTCTATAATTGAAGATGTGTCTTGTTAGAATGCTTTTTTCTAAGATTTGTTTCCCTTGTTGATAAGATATTTATGTGACAATAAATAGTACAAGGAATTGTGAAAATTCATGACTTCACCTCTTATATGTAAGATAGTAACTTTTTTTTTTTTTGCCTTTTTGTCTTTTTTCGTGTCCGGCAACCGACCGCAACCCTCAGTGTCGCGCCTGTACCGGACCGGGACCGGCAACGGGATCGCAACCCTCGGCGCCGCGCCCGCCCC